TTATTAAATATCAATTTCAAATAAAAATATTATGAGACGCTTAAATATTTATATTTTTTTTACATAAATACTTCGTTAGAAACCAAGTTTTTTAAGGATATTCTATGTAATTGGAAAAATAAATTCAAATGAATAAAAGAATGAAGGCCAGTATGAAAAAAAACAGAATTATTAACCTCAGCAAAAAACTGTTTTTTTTTTATTGAGTGAGCGTGTTTTCTCATTTCAACCTAAGAAAGTATCAAGTAATTTGTTATTTAGAGAATATGAAATGAATTTTATGAAATAATTAATTCGATTTGAATTAAAATGCATAGTGCTTGAATAAAATAATGATTGCAGTATTTTATTATTAGTTTAAAGCATTTTAAAGAAAATCGTATTTTTTTCAAAACGAAATTCTGTATTAATTTTATTTATGACATTTAAATATAATTGATGGCATTAATTTAAACATTTTGAAAGAAAACAAAAACAGTTTTTAGATTCATTTTGACTAAAATAATGTCCAGAACAAAACAAATTCAAAGTTGATGAAATATGTTTTTTTTTAGGATAGAGGAGAATTATTGAACATTAATGAGTTTGAGGCATTAGAATCATTCAAATAATGATTCTATGACTGTTACTCGTACTAACTCTAAAATAAATATTAAAATCTGATCGTTAGATTATAGATGGAAAATAACTAAACATTTAATTTTTCGAGAATCCATAGGTATAAAATATTTTTTGTTTATTTTTTAACCGATAATGACAATCTTCATGATTTAAATACTCCTAAGTCGTTATACTTTGTTAGATAAAATATTGATTAGAAATATTAAATAAAATTGGATCTATTACATTCATAATATTTTTTTTATTTGAAATATTCTCAGTCTTACAACCGTTGTATTTAATTTTTTATTTGTAAAATTCTCAAAATCAATTATATGTATATATATTTATGTCGCAATTTTTTTCTTGGATGCATGAGTTTCATTATCGAATATTATTATATAATTAAATATGATATGAAGAATGCTTCAATACGTGATACATAATTGAAACGTTGTTTATGGTTTTGTTTTATCACATTCAGTAAAAATTCCCTCAAAAGAATATGCTATGTGAACATAACACTATCGAGAATAACTTGCTCATTTTTGTTACAATACAAATAAATTCAGCATTGGATTCTTTTTGTTTCTATATGTGACGTTATTAGTTGATGTGATTTTTAAAATTAAAAAAAAATACTATTCTATATCTAATATAAACATTATTAATAAATTTCTATATTAAAGATGAAAAGAAGCAAAAAACAAAATCATGACAGTTTTTTTCTACTTATATATTATACTATTATATTTTATTCAACCAAAATTATTGTCTTTTTGCCATAAAATTTCCAAATTCAAACTTAAAAAAAGAAATTAAACAAGTATCTGATATAATTGTGCTTTACGACTCGTTTATGCAGGTAAAAAGAGCAAGGGGTGGGGATGGGGGAGGGGGGCGTGAGATGGGTACTAAAGGAAAAAACAGTTGAACAAAGTTATTGTCTTTTAAAATTGCATCTAAGCAAAGCGCGCCTTCTGAAGATTGTTTACGGCAGTAAATCCCACGGTAGTAAATCCAGTATACATAATTCAAAACAATTTAAATAAAAAAAAGATTAAAGAACCAAACTAAGAGCAATAAAATAGAAAATAATACCATAGTTTGATTGAATTTCTTCTCAATATCGGTTTCTGTTATAGTTTTACTGCTAAAAGATTGACTAATTATAATTTAATAGTAAGTATTGAATCTGAACAAACTCTTTTCATAAAAGTGTATCACAATATCGAGCTAACAATATCAGCTGATTTTTTTGTATTATGACTAGCTTTTATTGCTGCATTATTATTAATAAAAATTTCCACAAGTCTAAACACATATTAGATAATAAATGAGAGTATTAAACAAAAATTCGATTTACTTTATTAAGAGCAGCAATAAAATGTTGATCATTATTTAAAAAACATCGTACAAGTTTGAAGAATTCGATATGATTATCAAGAATTGTTTTAACATAAAGTTTCGGATTCTAAAAAAAGGCAAGAGAGAGAGAGAGAGAGAGAGAAATAAATATAGTTATAAGATACAACGAACAAATTACTTTTACATTAATTACAGTTTTACCGATTCTCCTGATTGCTTCAATACCCATTAGGCAAAAGTGGTCTTCAACAATATTTTTCGATTTAACAGTCACATTTGGTACTCGAGCAACTAACTTGAATAAAAGTGCCAAATCTATAAAAAAACCAAATGAAACCTTTAACACTCAACTATAAAATAAAGATTTTATAAGACAAAATAAAAAAAAAAAGTAAATTGATCATGTGATACTTTCTAGACTAGTAATATTGAGAAGTTTTCGTCTATTTACCTGAATATTTTTCATTATGTAAAAGTGTTTTTTACTTCAGTATAAATTACTTCAAGTTGATCATAAATTCGTATTTCTCCAACTTTTTTAATTAATGGTGCTAATGTTGATGGATGTAAATACGATTCTATTCGATGTGATTCTTCATCAAGATGCTGTGCTACCTATGAAAAATAATATTAAATGTTTTATCACTTTTATAAAAAAAAAAGTAAACCTTTTTCAAATATTCAGACACAGAATTATGAGGAAGAAAAATTTCCTCGAAGGCAAGTTCAGCTAAAATCTTTCATATAAATTTTAAGAAAGAAAAAAATTATTTTGATTTCTACCAAAACTTTGAAGTACTTCACTAATTTATTGAATATTAATCTCTTCATTTTGACATTCAGATTTGATTAATTGAAGACATATTAATGTTACTTGTCTCTGCAATGGTTGAAAGAAAATAAGTTGCCAGACTTTTTTAGCCATCTAAAATTATATTCATTTTATAACTTATGTGAAAAGATAAAGACTTCATAAACATCTCTTCTTCCTGAATCATATGCCCGTTGTATCCAATGTCGATTTAGATAATGGCAAAAATCATTTGTTACTTTACTTGAAAATGGATAATGTTACCATTTTATGGCATAGAAACGAAGTAAACTTTCGTCTTGTAAATCAAATCCTTCCTACAAACAAAAATTTCATTATTAAAAACAATAATAGGAGCTAAACATTAAAAATAAAATGATTTTCAAGATAACTAAATGACAGTGAATCAAGAGAATGAGTTACACTCGATTGAGATAAGTAACTCATGTCATTGTTTCAATCTATAAAATACTGTGAAGACCTTGCTAACAGTATAGTTTTCAGCAGGAGCTATTCATTTTAAAGGTACACTTCTTTCTTCATCCAATATTTTTTGTTTTTGATGTTTTATGACTATTGTATAGTCTCAAGTAGTATATCAATCTATTGACTACATTTTGAAATCCAAAAATTGCCTTTAAATAGTAAAAAATTCATTATGGAATCAAATTTATACAATGAAAACAGTGAAAAACTATGCATTGTTGTGTTTTTGTCAAAATAAGTCTTCCAATGAAAAAAGTCCAGAAACGCTTCCATTTCATCGACGTAGTAAGACCGATCGAACTGAAATTTGTTTCACATATGCTAAACATTGTGTGTGATCGGTATTTTTTTTGTGTGTTTCGAAAACTATTGTTCTGATGATTATTGATAGCTCATACAAAAAAAAAACTTTATTCAAGAAAACATATGTTTTTATTGGTATTTTCAATATTTTGTTTTTTTTTTATTCGAAAACTAAAAAATAAAATAAAACCAAAAAAAAACACTCACCCAAACCAGTCTCTAGTAGCTGCTGAAAAATTTTCAATTCGATCAAACGTTGTATCTTCGAGAGACGAGGACGAAAATTGGGACAATGTTTTGCGATTGTGATCCTAGTATCTCGTAGAAGACAGCATTCAAGAACTTTAAGTATGTAATAGCTTTTATTCTATCCATCAAGATCTACTAACTGTGAAACATCGAAATTTTTCTGAGGAGCCGTTCTCTCGAATTGTAATTACTATAATATAATTTTATAGTTCTATGTAAACCAATAATATCAACATAAAAGTTTGTACAACGTAGGAGGTACAGAATCCTGCAAAAACATCAATTCCTTAGTAAAAAGAAAACAATGAAACTATTTTTTTAAACATTATGTCATTAGCAATTTATCCCAATTCGAATTTTCAAAAAGTGAATACTTGCAATCATTTCGTCGTTAAATATATGACTTTTCCTATTTATATAATAGTTTACATAGAAATCCAGAATATATTCTTTCGATGCTCTTTCATATGATATAGTGATGCTCATGACGACGATTCTATTTTAGAACCAAATTATTATTGTCCAAAAAAAGAGGAAACATAAACTCTTACTTTTACAGACATTTAACTTAAAACTTCTTATAATATTATAATTTAATTGATATTAATTATTCTCTCAAGAAAATAATCTTATTTTACAAATTCCTGCCAAATAAGTTTCTAAATAATTTTTCGTTTTGGTATTTAATCCTTAACCAGGAATATTGTCTCCACCATGTAAATGATTTTGTCGATTATTCCTACTAGGTCTTATTGGTGCTGTTTTTGTAGAACCTTGCGATGGAATATTTGTACAATAATTATAAACCTCACTATAAACAATAGATTCAATTATTGAAATAGAAAACAAAAAAAAAAGGGGAAGATTAAACTTGTATTTATTCATAAATTTTGCCATATTCCATAGGTGATATTTCCTCAGTTCGATAAATCTTTTTCATACCTTACGATACACTCGACCAAACGTTATCCAAATTTGGATAAAAAACTTCAGTTGTCATTTGATTTTAGATCAGTATCTGTGAAAAGAACAAAAATAATATCAAATCATCCGTAGCGGATAACTACTACATTGTGCATGAGCATTGCTTGCGGTACGAGATCGGTGCACAGTACTTCGAATGTCCAATATCGAAAAATCTTCAAAAGCATTGAAAACTTCTCTCTGATTCAATACTGAGAACTGCGTTATGAGAACCTTATCCCACTTATACTTTATTCCTATAGCTGTATCTCTCAAAAAAAACAAAAATCATCTTTTTCATAAGAGAAAAAGAAAAATCTGTGTTGCATGACTAACGATAAGAGAAAAAGAAGAAGAAGATAAGTGCATATGTATAATCCTGCAGACTAAGAAAGAAAATCCTTATGATTGCATGTGAAGAAGATGCAGATTATAATATGCGTTATTATATATATATATATCATAACAAACGATTATTGTTTTTGTATGCTAAACTACACAATTTTAGTCTAATTTCTAAAAGCCAGTAAGAAATTGAATCAACATTCATCATTCGATACAGAGTCCCACTACACCTAGGTGAGAATGAATTGAATTAAGTGGGCTATTGTTACATCTTAAACTTACGTTTAATATGTATATGGTATTTATGATATTAGATAACAACGATTGGATTCATTTTTGATCTCTTTGTGTTCCACTATCCTAATTCATTTTATCTATCTCTCTACGGACACATTTATGTTATAGAAAAAATGGGTATATATATACGATGGTAGGGAGAGAGTTGAAAAAAATCAATAAGATAGACAAATTGAAAAAAAATATATATGCGTCATTACTCCAAAGTAAAGAAGACATTACAAGAAGAATATAAGAGAACACACGAGA